TCTTTTGTGGTTAACTGTAAATAGCGACTCTGTTTCCACGGTTTATTTTTAACACAGTGTACTATATTAAGAAAAATAGCAAATGTAAGTCTATACATAGCCTGTTACTAAGACTGTGAGCTGAACAGTCAGTCAACAGGAAAATACTAGCCTAATCAACAAGTGTCTGCAGGTCTAGTAAGGATATTTCGGATACATTATAGGTAGTGGGAAGAACTGCAGCAGTACAACTAATATTTCATTATTACAGATCTTAGGAACTTTGTGAATCACACTGGTTTTGGCAGAGTGGATTTGGGTGCTGTAATCTGTACCTCTATGTCCTGGCTGTTTATCTTCTACCTTTCCTTTGCTGGACCAGCAAAAAAGTCAACTTCCTTTTATGCAGTATTAATTGGCTATTAAGTAGTGAGGAGTTCAGGAAAAGAGAACAAATACACTTTTTTACTCTTAACCTTCAAAAAAAAACTTGTTTAAAAAAAAAAAAAAAAAAAAAAAAATTTAGTCCAAACTTGAGAATGTGCTGTTCTTTTATATTTTATTTTTAACTATTTTATGACTGACAGGGTTAGGGAAGTATAGGACAAATTCTTAGATAAGCCTTCAAGGTTACCTCTCATTATGCATGATAGGTGGGGGGAAAAAAAACAAACAGGCAGAAGTCAGTTTTTCTTATCATCTGTATAAACAAGCTGGTATTTCATTCAAGGCCTTTTCCTTAACTTTCAGCATACCAGATTACTATCAGGCAATCACCCTGAGAGACATGCAAACATGTTGTTGTTGACTGTTTGTCTACTGAATTTATGAACTTGTTTCCTAAGGAAACAAGGCTCCTGAATTCGTTCTACGTCTATGTGCTTGCCTGCCAAACTTTCCCTTTATTATTCCTTTACTTTTTTCCTTTATTATATAATATATAATTATATAATATTATAACAATATTTATTATTGCAGTAATTTGTGACTTAGGAATCATATTAATCACACTGAATGGAAAGCTGGAGGTCTGTAGTGAATTGAGTTCCCATCTGTATCAAACCCACAGGTGATGGACAAAGGAGGAAATGCCCCATTTGCAGAGCTGTTTGCCCCTCAGCAGGGGAAATATTGTGCTTGGCTGTAGGAATTGTCACTGAGCTGTGGTGCAGCCTGCCAGCCTTTGGCTTCCAGCTGAAAACGAAGCTGTGATCCAGCCTCATAATTGTGTGGTAAAGCCACAGTGGGCTGCTGGAGATGTGGACGGTTTGGAAAGAGCTTCAAGCTGGAGCATGCATCAGTGCCTACTAGGGCACTCCAGGTGCCATGATTTTCAGTGTGCAAAGGTGACTACAATCATTGCAGAATGACAGATGGGAGCACTGGGGGGTTCCTGTGGTGAAAGGGCAGAAAGCATGTGGAGAAGGAAGCTGGGCTGCGAATGGCACTGTGGATGCCAGGAAGGGCTAGTGGTATGTTGCCCAAAGAGTGTAAAGTGTTTATGACATAAATCAGCAGAAAAACGTGCACTATTAATCCTGTGGTGTTTTTATTATTTTTTTTCCTAGTGGTACCTTTTATTAGCTAAAATACATACTGTTTAAATGAGCCTGATCTAATACCTTCTGAAATAAATGTTTCTTTTATTTGCAATCAAAGGAACTAGATAAGGTAGCTACTATAACATACAGAATTTATTTGCATTATATTTATGAATAAGACTTTGAAGTACATATTTGGAATTTGAATGTTACTATTAGTAATACCTGTCAGAGACTCAGACATGAGCTTTTCAGGTAACATTTTGTCCTTCTCTGACACACTGAATTCTGCACAACTGAGGCAGGACTGACATCTTGCAGCTTGCTGGGTCATATACTTGGGGGCCTGGACACAGTCTTAGTTTGTGATTGTTACACAGACTTTATTCTTGTCAATGCTATCAGGATTTCTGATTCTATTGCAGTTTAAGTAATTATAATATAAATTATTTTATTTGTTTATAAAATTACATTTTAATGTAAAATAGTTTTAGTACTCAAAAACTAAGTATGGGCTCCATTCATCCTTTGGTCTACAGAATTGATGTTGATGCCAGTTCCATGGAGAACGGAGTCCTAATGCATGCTGGCAGATTGTGGAAGTGGATGAAATACTTCAGAAAAACCTCAGTTTTCTCCTGTATTTTTAAGACTGGGCTACATTAAGTATTTCCTTGCTCACCTACTCTCTTAGTAGTGTCATATGGTTCCACTCTTGGAAGAAATCATGGGAATACTCCCGTAGATTGCCTGTAACTTCCTCATCTCCATGTTGTCTAGACACCAGCAACCTCATCATATATTCATGCCTCCAGAACATCTAGACTTCCCTTTACTGGAAAGCCTGAATTAGGCAGTAGGAACAGAGGGAGTCTGTTTTCCCTTTCAAAATTCCTTCTTTGCTGGTGGCTAGGTATAATGTTGTAACGAATACCAAGTCAGTGTCGTGTTTCACTGCAAGGTTCCCAAATTCATCTTGCAGCGAAGAGGTGCGATGATCTTATTTATCCTGGTCTTAAAGGCATAAAAATACCACTTGAAAGGAGAAGAGATTAAGAAAGTGATCCTGAAGAACTCAATGGCATATACACTATCTTCCTACTGACCTTTTATTTTCAGCATAAATGTACTTAGAAAGCATTCTGGCTTTTGAGTAAAGCACAACTGAAACTTCTGTGAGTGAAAAAGGCATGGAATTAGTCTGTATTTTTTGGCATTGCTCATCCCACTAGGATATAATGCCGGGTTACCTAACTTTTCCTGTTTCAGACATCTTGGGTTATTTTAGACTCCTCATTCTTCATTGGTAGAAGTGGAGGATTCTCCAGTACCCCTCTTCCTCAATTACCTAATGATATTTTGGGGGAGAGGGCTTTGTCCTCTAAATGAGGACAGCTAACACCTAAATTCTAGGTCTAGATTTCTTTAGCCTTGATCTCTCCAACTGTTTTAATGGGGGAGGAAGGAGTGGCAGATTAGGCTGTTTAGCCTAACTTCTTTCCAAAGAAAGTTAAATTTGTGTGAATGCAGAGATGGAACACTTTTTGGCTATTTGTTTTTCTTGGTGTTAGAGACATAATGTAGTACCTGTGTAGTTTTTTTTAAGACTGCTTTTCCTTGCTGGAATGCACAGCTTATCTGAGCTGTGGCTTGAAATGAGGAGCTGGGGAAAAAAAAAAGAAGCAAAAAAACCAAGCACCTGCCTCCTCTGAAATAAATACTGCCTCCTCTGGACAAAATGCTGTCTTCAAGAGCTGCGTTAAAAGATGTGGATGGACAGCCTTTGCCCTCCAGAAGTGTCACAGCCAAGTAGGGATTTCAGGCTGCCCTTTGCTCAGTGAAATCAGTGAAGTGTAAATAATAATAACTGGTCAGTGTGTCAGCCAAAATGAAGTTGGAAAATAGCCATATGGCATCTCCTACCTGCCTCTCCTCCCTATTCCTTGAACAGGCAGGTTGGGCATATTGCAGGGTTCCCCTCCACCTCTATGTAAGGCACGGTGACTGAAGTGGCTGCTGGCTCCTTCTCGGGATGTGGTTTTTATTTGTATTTATTTGTATTTATTTATTTATTTATTTATTGCACCTCCTATCTACAGTTTTCTGTGGTATGGAGAAATCTGGCAGTACTGCTGGTGAGCCACTCTGGCTTAAGGGATGATACTTGAAGAGCTCTGCATTGATCTGTTGTGCAAAGGAAGATGTCCTACTCCATTTTTCCATGATTCAGAAGAAGAAAGAAAACCAAAAGGTCATATGGTCGTGTGTGATTTGTTAAACAGGTTCATTCAATATTGCCATTGTACATTTAGTCTGACCACAGTGAGTCAACTTGTCTGGAATTGACTCAGGCAAAGTAGACAACATCCACAAGAGTGGGACTTCATTCATTCAGAATTTCCTTGCTAATGCCCATCAGGGAAATAAAATTAGGTGTGGAGTGTGGATTTTTTTGTATGTTTTGAGTGCTGTTGTGAATCTAAATGCAGCTTAAAGTAGAACATGGGCATTTCGGGACTTTTATGGATCTTACCCAAGTGTTTTACTACCTCTAACTTCCATCAGTTAGGCAAATAGACCTTCTTTCAGGAAGGAATATGGACGCTGGCTGTAGCATTTAACTGTTCTTGTGTTGAGTTGGTTGACTGCCTGGATGCTGTCAGTCAGCAACGTTCATTTCTATGCAAACAGCACAAAATGGGAAGTTGTAATGTGGAGAAATGGCAGATAACTGTCACACAGTACTCAGCAGCCTAAAAGCTGCTACTTGAGTAATTACGTGATGGCTTCCTCTGGCTTTGCAGGGTAACCTGTGTGCTTTGGCACTGCAAACAGCCTCCTGCCAACTGTCTGCGCTTTCACCTCGGACCTACACGGCCTCGCCGGGCCAGCTGAGGGGAGCGCTGCCGGCCCGCAGCCGTGACTGACCGCCCGCGGGCCGCGCGGAGGAACTACTCTGCCTTTCCAAGCAGAGGTCGGCGCGCTGACCACGGCTCGCTCCCCGCTACTTTGAGGACGAGATGCGCGGGCCCCGAGGGCGAGGCGAAGGGCCTGGGGAAAAGAGCCGCCGCCATGCTCCGCCGCAGGGCTGCCCGTGCCCGCAGGCCCGGCTCCTCGAGACTGGGCGTGACGCGAATGTGTGGTAGGCGGACGGCCGTCCTTCGCCCGGCGGCACCTCGGCGCCCTACCCGGCGGGATGGGAAGCGCGGGTTGCTCGGTGGGACTACATCTCCCGGCGTGCCTTAGGGGGACGCGGCGGCGCGGGGCACACCGGAAGCTCAGCGCCTCCGCCGCTCGCACGGCCGCCTCCATCTTTTCCCTCCTTCTCTCCCTCCCGCCGGCGCGCCGCCGTCTGCTCCGCGATGCGTGGGCGGGGCCATCCCGAGCGACGCCTCCGCTGGCCAACCAGCGCTCGAGACGGCTCCGCTCGTATCCAATGAGAGCAGCGAGGGGGCGGCCCCAGGGTAGGCGGCGGTAGCGGTGGTTGCCTGAGAGGCCGGCGACGTCCGCGGCCGAGGGAGGGCGCGAGCCACGCTTAAAGGGCCAGCTGCGCGCGCCGGAAAAGTTGCGAGGAGTTGGGCGGGCGCCGGCCCTGCGCTACCCAGACGGCGGCCGGGGGACGGCGGCGGCATGGAGCAGGCAGCGCCCAAGAGGTAACGATCCCTTGGAACCTTTCCGCGGCCCCTTCCCCTCCCGGAAGCTAGCGCGGGGGGGCGAGGCCTGGCGGGGCCGGTGGGGGTCGGGCTGCGGGCGGGCGGGCTGAGCGCCCCGTTCTTTGCCGGTCCCCCGTGCCTCCGGGGGTGCTGAGGTGGGCTCGGAGTGGCTCTCCTGAAGTACGTACGCCAATCTTTGTTTTAACCTTCGTTTTATTGTTTTGATTTTTAATATTTGCCTTTTGTGTGTGAAGTAGGGCGTGAAACCGTCAGCTTTCGCTGTAGATGTGCTGCTGTCATCTGAATGCATGGAATATCTAACAGTGTGGGTATGTTTAGGTGGAGCAGCCTTCTTGTGGTGCAGTTATGTGCAGTGCAGAGCTGTGAGGTGTGCAGGCTGTACATAGTTTACATACGTACTGGCTGTGTTAGCTCCAACTGTTTCACTTCCTGTTAGCTTATATTATGTAGTTACTATTTTTTCTTCTGCCAGGAGATAATGAACTTTTTTTTTTTTTTCTCGTGTAAACACAGTTGTTTATGTTCAGAGCCTTTGAAATTTCTTACAGTGACTTTCCAGGGCTCCAGAAGAGTGCTGTTGTGGAGCTGTGTCCTTCTTTCTCCCATGATATGTCAAGAAACATGTCTGCTGCTGAAATCCTTAGTGAAGAGTCAACTAGCAGTTGTTCTGCTGAGTGCCTTCATCGTAGTCTCAGATTCCAGGCTGGATGTGGCTCTGGGCAGCCCGGTCTAGTGGTTGGTGACCCTGCCTGTGGCAGGGGAGTTGAAACGGATGATCTTTGAGGTCCTTATCAACCCAGGCTATTTTATGATCCTAAACAAAAAGGTGTCTGGTTTCCATCGAATTTACATTGCACTCAACATGAAGGTCAGTTTTGTCTTTCTCCTAATTGAACATGTGAGAAGAATCACTCTAGGCGTTACTTTGGTCTGATGATAAGCTTTGTGATGTTTGACATGTTTTGTGATGAAGCTCCTTGCCCTGAGCTGGATATCTTGGCCCCTGTGCATTTCTGTGATGCACAATAAAGGAACTTGAGCGCAGTTTTTCATGTAGAAGCAGCTTGGTGGGATTTTGTTGACTGAATTCATTCTTACAACTGGTGCTAACATTGTTGACAATGTTTCCCACAAGCGTGTTTTCTGCATTATTTTTTTTTTCCTTACTTAAAAGACTTAGAAGAGAAGGCTTCAGCAGATGTTTTAAAGTTTGTCTGACACTTCAGGATATGCAGATATGCAGCGGGGGAAGGACAGGCCTGCAGTGTGATTTCAGATTGACAGTGCTCTGCACATGGAATGCAGGGAATAGGAGAAGCACTAGTAAGGATTTAGGAGAAGAAATGGGAATACCTGAGAAGTAATCAATATTACAGGCACCAGTGCAAAGCTTGGGATCTGGTTATATCAAAGGAGCGGAAAAAAAACTTGAAGTTAGCACAACCTGCAGCATTGCATGCATTTCTTTATTTGGTTTTGTTTTGAAGAACTAGTTTTGCTCTAGCTTTATTACCTAGCTGTAAGCTTGTGGCTAGACTAATTGCTGTTGGTGAACTGTTTGAATCAGGAAGAACTAGAAAGCCAATATGTGAGCTTTTTAACTCCTGCATGTTCTTATCATAGTTTTTGAAGTTTTACTTTTGGAAGATTAAATATGATGGGAACTTAGTGGGTTTGTTTCTTGAAGAGAAGGGAAAATCACATAATTGCAGGGGTTAGAAGGGACTTCAAGACATCATCGAGTCCAAGCACCTGCAAAAGCAGTTCCCTACAGCAGATTGCACAGGTAGGTATCCAGGCAGGTTCTGAGTTTCTCCAGAAAAGGAGACTCCACAACCTCTCTGGGCAAACTGTCCCAGTGCTCTGTTACACTCCCTGTAAAGAAGTTCTCCAGTATCTTTGTATGGAACTTCCTATGTTCATACTTTAGGCTATTGTTCCGTGTCCTGTCATTACGCATCATCGAGAAGTGCAGAAGTACTGGCCTCATCCATTCACCACCTACCCACCTCCTTTTAGAAGAATTGAATATTTTTTTCTCCATAAAATACTGCTTACAGCCTGCGTGCATATATCCTCTTCATCTGGTGTTTTTATCTTTTATTATTATTATGTATTTTTTTTACAGTTTTCTGATTGTTTGGTGTCCCCAAGTGTTCATCTTAAGCCCCCCTTCTGCAAGTGCAGATGGAGTACAGATGACTTCTTATGGGCTGCATGTTTTCGGTGCTTTCTTTGAATGCAGCAGTGACTTGGCATGGACAAAGCACATTTTCTTGGAAAAGCAGATGGGATCACCAGGTGGCTTTGTGTCAGTGCCTGCTGTCCACAGGAGCAGCTTCTGAGAGGGACCTGTTGGGTGATGTGTGCTGTGTGAGACATTTGTCTGAAGGCAGCAAGAATTTCACGCACACGTTTCAGAGCTTCTTAAAATGTCAGTTCTTTTGCAGGTGAAAGGCATTTATTCCTACTTTCCCTGTAAAGGAACACATGAAAATTCTGGGTAGATGTTTGCAAATCTCTAAAACAGGCTTTCAGAAGTTGCTGTGCTGGTGCCTCAGCAACAAATCAGGCCATTGTAGCTTTCAAATGGGAACGGTATCAAACTGGAAAGGTTTTCTTGCTTGATCAGTGTGGTGCAGCAGTAACTGAAGACTTCTGAGGAGTGGTTTCAGAATAATGGTTACTTCTTTTGAAAGAATAACTTAGGGTGGGCATTCTGATTTTATGGTCAGTAGTTGTCACAGTGTTTGATGCCAGGTGTTCCCTTGCATCTGAATCTCGCATCTATTCCAGATGTGTTTTGTAGCTCCTTATTAATTCTGAAGTGAATGCTCTTCCTATAGTCGGTTACAAGAAGTGACTGACAGTTGTTTTAACTGCAGAGTCTGCCTTTGAGTGGTTTATAATTTGTCCCTGCTATTATCATTGCAGTTTTCTGTTTATATTGACATGCTCATGTAACAGGAAATTGCTTGCTGGGAAAGGAGAGACTGAATTCTATCAAATACAAAGCTTTTAATCTTATTGGTCTCCTGCCCACCACTGCCAAGTAAAAGGCCTTGTAGCAGTCATGGAGAGCGTTAATTAAGGCTTTCTAGTAATTTGTCTTAACTCAGTCTAAATTTCACTGAAATACACCCGTGTTTTGTGGGAAGGGAAAAGCTTGCTTTTAAAGTATGAAATGTGTGTGGAAAAATATGTTGTTATTAACATTCGTATGGAGGGACATTAAGTTCATGTGGATGTCTTGAAAGTGGTAAGACGTGCAAATTTGCTTGGGTTTTATTGATAGAAAATGAAAGGTAAGTACACAGTATAGCAAGGTAAACTCTCTTAGACTTACTTCTATTTGTATGAACAATGTAAAGCAGTGTTAATATCTCAAGACTTTCATGTGCCAGTGCTATTTCTGATGACTGCAATGATTTCTCTTACTATCTTCCCTTGTGGTGCATCCGTATAATTGATGCCAGCCATTCTTTTTGAATGTTTCATCGTGCTGATTCTTCTGCAAAATAAACCACATATTCATCTTTCTTGGAGTAGTTCTCCAGTTTTCCCTAACTCATGATGGTAATTGTTGGAGCTGTATCTTTAGTCTTGCTTTATTTTTCTGTTAGCGTTCAGTTTTTTACTTTTACTGTAATATCTACCTTTGTAACACATCACCAGTTTGTTCTGTAAAATCTGTATGCTGTGACCATAGGACACTAAAATCATAGTTCTTTTTCAGGTGTTGATGGGACAAAATCTCGCACTCTTTGAGGTCCCAGTTGAGATTTTTCTGATGTTTATGCTGGGAATGGTAGTCATGGGTAACTCTGGCTCAATCTTTTTCTTCCATTTAGTTGTTTTGCTGGAGTACTTCAATGAAGTTTGAGATTCTAGTCATGCTAGTAAGTATGGATGTTGTCTCCCATCACCTGGATTTATGGAAGTAAAATTCTTAGAGTGCATTTTTCTTCTTCAAGAAGCCAGGCCTGATGCAGGGAGTCAAACCTGCTTGGAGTGAAAAAACCCTTCTGACAGCTCTTGTCCTAGACCTGCAATTGAGTCTGTCCTGCTGCCTGCAGGAAGAGTTCTCCTTCTGGACATCCATTGGAAATTCCCATAATCACTACCTGATGCTTGTGGACTCCCTTCTGGGGTGATTTTCTCCCCAGTGTTTATAGTTACCATCTTCTTTAGGCTTTCTCACAGTTTCCACATGTGACACCTGTATCCTGTGGCCAGAGTTTCTGTGTGGCTGATTTCTGCTTTAGCACTTGTAAAAGGAAAGGGTTTGGAAGGGGGAGAAACTGGAGCTTTTAATCTGATGGTTCTTGACCGGTTTGTCTGTGCCCCCACCATAGCAGGGAGGCATTTTGTTGAGTGCATAGCATTGACTCGTAGTGTAGAACGCCTTAATGCTTCAGAAAAAGCAGCGATACTTCTCAAGTGTTGGGCTCAGTGTCATGTTGTTTGCCTTGTGCACAGAGGTGATGCTGTTAGGCTGGACAGATGGCAGGAATGGATGCACATGGGCTGATAATGAAGTCTCAGATGTTTTTCCATCCATAGTTTTATTGCTTCTTTGTAAGACTGGCGATATTAACTCTTAATTAATGTTAATATCTCTAGCCCTTTTCTTCTTGTATTCTACCTTGTGCTTTACAGCCATAGAATCATAGAATTGCAAGTTGGAAAGGACCTACAAGATCATCTAGTCCAACTGTCCTCCCACTACTGTTGCTACCACAAGCTACTAAACCATATCTCGTAGCTCCTCATCCAGATGCCTCTTGACATGACAACTTCCATCTTCCTCCATGCTTCTCCCTAAGTTTTCAGAAGCGCTCTCTGTGGCAGCCCTTTCAGGCTATATCATGTACTGCTGTTTAATGTTTTCTGTTTCAAGAAAGTCAATAGAACTCCCAGCTTTTAAGCAGTTTGAGCCATTAAGATCTTCCTGTGGTTCAAAGACCTGCAGCGTTAATACAACTGCTTGCATACCGGTCTGAGTGTCTGTACTCCTGCAGTATCTCTGTGAAGCACTGTGAAGTACTCTGAGCAGTGTATTTATTGATAACATTCTGAGATTAACACGTCTTTCTACCCCTAAGTGGGTTTGGTGTGTTTAGCTGTGCTGGTGTCCAGTTCTCTTTGGTCTGAGAATGTTTGTCAGAGTTGAATAATGTGAAAATAAATTTAAAACTGCACTGTTTTTTTCAGTCTCCAAGGTGTCTTTGTTTTTGAGATATTGTGTGTTTTTTGTTTTTGGTGGTTTTGTTCAAGCATGGCCAGCTGTAAGCTGTTTCTGTAGCTCTTGACAAGCAATGTACTGCCATTAACGGTGCTGCTGAAAACCCTTTGTCACTGAGCATATCACAGAATCATAGAATCCTTTGGGTTGGAAGGGACCCTAAAAGGCCATCTGGTCCAACTCCCCTGCAGTGAGCAGGGACACCTACAGCTACAGCAGGGCACTCAGAAGCCAGGCAGCCTCACCTTGAGTGTCTCCAGAAGTTGAAGAGGTTTTCCAATAACGTCAAGTTCTCTTTCATGAAGCAGGATTGATAAAACAGATACATCTAGAAGTGGGACATTTTTAAGACCTCTTCAGAAAGTATATCCTCCTGCTTTTTCCTGTTTAGGAGAGCACTGTTCTTTGGAGCAGGTGAAATTGTTTTCTTCTGCATTTTTAGGGAAGGTCGCTGTGGTGTTTGGTTTTTTCCTTACTACTAAAAAACTGCAGTCCTTGCTCTGCTCTCTTGAGTATGTCTTTTGTTGTGCAGCTCTTTGGTCAGGTAACAGACTCAGCAAATGGTCGTGGTTCTCATTTTTTGAGGCTCTGCTGATAGCGTTTCCGTTGGTGGCAGGCTAAGAAAGATTCTAATAAATGTTCTTCTGTTAGCACTGCCTTTAAGGATGCAGATAACCTGTACAGAGTTTGGGGATAAGGGGGAAAGAATTTGAAACAAAAGAATCAAATGAATTATTTCTTTAATATTTGCCTGCCAAGTCTTCTTCCCTTCTGCTTTATTTATTTGTTTTGTTACTGCCTATATGCTTTCCTGTAGGACTTGATTCCATCTTCCTGCTTTCTGGTCTCTTAACAAGCAGAGAGAATGGAAAAAGAAAGCATAGCACCGTGTTCCTGTGTTTGATTTGTAGGCTGCTTTTGCAGACATTCTTTAGCTGCTCCCATCTGATTTTTCAGCTGTTTTCTCTCTATTCCTGTGTTCTGCTCTACCTTTATAAGGGAGGTTTTTATTCTGCCTTCTGTCACACACTTTCCAGCTTCCTGCCTGTTCATTGTAGCTAACTGTGTGGGCTTTACTGCAGTTGAGCCACCTTGCTTTAGCAATGATGGGTACTTTTGCGCTCATACTGCTGCTCCATCTGTCGCAGAGTTGCTTGCTATATAAATCTGTGTGTAGCACGCGCACGCAGTTTGCTTCCCTTGTTTAACACTGCATTACTGTGCACTCATCCGTGTTTAATTTTTCCTCTTTACTTAGAGGATTAGCATTATGTGCCCCTTTTGACTTGGGAATTGTTTTATCAACCACTTCATTTATTGAGTAATTCTTAGTTCTGTGAATCACGGAAATTTATCTTTTTATAAGAAGGAATTGCTTTTGAATGCTGTTCTTATGTTATGCTTGCCAATCTGTTCTGTTTGTGTGCTCTTCCCTTTCCCTGTTTTGTATTCATTTCCAGTACATTGTCACAGGATAACATATTTTCCATGAGGTCTCAGTGATGTGCAGTGCTTCACAGCTTCTCTCCTCACCATTTTCTCCTCCTGCATATGGAATTATTGGCTATATCTAGCACTACAGCACCAGCTATTCTCAGCTTGTCTCCTACTTTAATAGTACCCTTGGCTACTATATAGAGTTAACTTGTTACTCCAGTCTTGTAGAAGAATTCCCTGTAAATTTCAGGATGAGAGATTTACACATTGCAGCCATGCAATCTCACTGCAATATCTGGGTGGTTATATTTGCCTGCAGAATGTTCAGTGTCAGCTTCATCAAAGGCTCGCAGCCAGGTGGTGTTCTTAGATCTGTGAGGCATCTGGGGGCTGGGGAAAGGCTGGGATAGGCTGTAAGGAACAAAGGCTGAATGGTGGGAGTGGGTTGGTGGTGCAGAGGTGACAGTGCAATGCAGAGCGATTTGAAACTGTGAAAGAAGGCTGGAGGGGAAAAGAACTGCACCAACAACTCTTCCAAGAGTTGTAAATGCAGTGTTTTGCTGCATATGTGTAGCTGAGGTGCTGCCGAGTGCTTCCAGAGTCATCCTGGCTTTGGGTTCTGTGTTTAGCTTGATGTTATCCACTGGTTTACAGGTGGCATAATTTAAAAACTGGAAACTCCAGGTGGGTGAAGGGTTGGCTTATACTGTCATGAACACTGGTATGGGATGCTTCTCTCAGTAATGACTGTATGTTTGCTGGCTGTTTGATTAAAGGTGTGCTTTGGTGTGTTCTTGAGCTGTTTCTGCTTTAGCAAAGGAAACAGATTAGGCAGTAAATTTGTCCCACGCTGCTTTGAGTTGAGCAAACATCAGTGAGAAAGCAATAATGACAAAAATAAACAATGCAACAATATGGTACAGTTGCCCATGTTATAAGGTGGTTGATAGAATTCTGTTACTGTGTTCTAATTAGTCATTTTATTTTCATTGTGGTATATTTCTCCTTGCAATCCTTTTCTTACATCTGTTTACTTGTGTGAAATTTTCCTCTGAGTTCAGTGCTTCTCTTCCACGAAAAATAAGTGAGCTTTGTCTTTTTTCTAGCAAACTGAAAAAGCTCAGTGAAGACAGTTTAACTAAGCAGCCTGAGGAGGTCTTTGATGTTTTGGAGAAACTTGGTGAAGGGTAAGTGCAGCTATTTGTGAGGGGATGGGATGAGAGGAAGGCAGTATATGAAGCGTGTGTTAGAATATTAAGTAACAGAGAGAATGACTGTAAGTGTCCTAAGGAGTGCCTTCTCTAGGCAGCTTTTGATAATAAGGCAAATCAGTGAGCTTCCATGCTTCCCCAAATCTACTTATGTGCTTTTACTGTCCCTCAGTTATTAAGTCAAAGACATTTGTGCTTGCATGAAAATGAGGTGTGCTACACCTTGTCAAAGATTTGGTATTTGAATGCACACCTTTGCTGAGATCCTGACAGAAAAGAAATATTGGCAGCCTGTGAGGAAAACCTCAAACTTTTGCTGCATGAACACATGACTTCTGCATACTAGAAATGAGAGGCAACTTATCTTGTAAGAAAAATAACGTTTTGAATCCCTCTTCTAGGTCTTATGGTAGTGTGTTTAAAGCAATACACAAAGAGTCTGGACAAGTCGTAGCAATTAAGCAGGTCCCTGTGGAGTCTGACCTTCAAGAAATAATTAAAGAAATCTCTATAATGCAGCAGTGTGACAGGTAGGTGTATCAGTGTATCAGTTCTCCTCCCATTCTAAGACTTAAGTGAAAATGTATTTATATTTGTAATGTTTTGTTAATACAGCTGAAATATAGGCAGCTGCCAGCTTTTTTATGTGGAAAATTAAAGCAGTCTGTGTTGAACAGTCTTTGTAAAGGAACTGCTTTGAAGACTGACTCCTATCCTTAGCTTGAGCTGAAGGAAGTATACAGTAGTGTACCTCATAGAGACTGTTAAATGAAAGAAGTACTTGCATTTGCTTAGAATTCTCCATGCCTGCTTTGTTTTACTTGCATTGGCAAGCCCAGAGGTTAATATTTCCTGTATACCTGCTTAGGCCATCTGAATTCTGAATTACCTGTTTCTGAAGACTAATAAGGATATTCTTAGAGCAAAATTAATAGCTGCCCATGAACTTCCAAACTGGTGTTCTGTCATCAGCTTTTTCACACAGAAACACACCTTTGATAAGTTAGCAATTTTCTAATGGTTCTGAAAGTGTGTCTTTAGTATTGTGTGAATGGAGGCCTCAGCATCACGTGTTGGCAAGAATGTAGAAATTTATTTCTTTCCCCTCCCCCCCTCTTTAAAGTTACTGATAATTTTTGTCTTTTCTATTTTTGGGTTAATCTTAAGATGGTGGTTACAACTTTTCGGTCAGATTTGCTAGTGTGTTTATTCATGGCTGATCAGCATTACGAGAATACTGTTTGCAACTTGAAGGTTAATTCCTGTTGGGAGAAACTTTTTTCTTTAAAATATTGATTGCTCTTGTCACTAACTTAGTGAACTGTACTGCAGCAATAGGTCTGTTGTTTCTCTGTTGTTCTTCCTTTTGTGCTGTGGTGGTGTTGAAGTTGTCTTTAAGTAGGAAAAGAGGAGAAAGCCCTTGTTTGGTGGTAGTACATGAGGATGGGCTGTCTTTGTGTTTTCTAAGTCAGTTGAAAGGAAAAGCCTAGCTCGTATAGCTAACTAGGACAAGGCTATAACTAAACGTGAACAGTGTTTTGAGATTGAGTAGCTTTTGCTGTCTTGATTATCTTGTCCTGATCAGTATGAATACACTATTTTCATTAATAGCTAGCTGCTAACTTTCACAAGACGGTCACAAAAATCAGTGGGTTTTATCAGAAGTAATAGTAACTTTCCTAACTCAAGGAATTGAAAAGGAGCAAGATCACCAGAAGCTTGTGTATACCAGAAGATGTGTATGGCAGTATCTTTGGCATTTCATTAATTGGTCAAATTTATCGTTCTAGCAAGGTATCAGTTAAACTAACTGCAGCTTTGAAATGTATTTGATCACAGTTGCATTTTGGCTGTTTGTCTTTTCCAAACTAATTTTTAACAGTATTTGTGCTGCTTTTTTTCCTTCTTTTTCCATTCAGAATTCATATGTTTAATTATTATCTTTTTTCCTTTCTGTCTAGCCCCTATGTTGTCAAGTACTATGGCAGCTATTTTAAGAACACTGATCTATGGATTGTTATGGAATATTGTGGAGCTGGATCTGTTTCAGACATAATTAGACTTCGTAATAAAACGGTGAGTTTCCTTCAAAAATGTGTAACATTTATTAACATTAAACTGTGAATTACAATTAGAAGCTTTAATAAAAGAGATGTGAGACAAGGTTTTGGCTGATGCCAAGAGATGTACTTTGGCCTTGATTGTGCAGTTGCTCTGGCTGTGTGTTTATTCATTTTTCCTTGGTGTGTGATTGTAAGTAGTAAAAAATGCATCTTGAAATGTGAAAGTCCTGTAAGCTTCGTGAAAATTACTGCTGTGTAAACGGCAAAACTGTATGGCTTCTTCCACCTGACAGCCTGTCAGCAGGCCATTTAGCATAAGCATGACATGAAAGCTGGCTCAATACTGACTTGCTCCTACTCAGTAATTAGGGAGCATGAAGAGTAATTGTTATTGTTCAGAGAATGAGAGTGGAAAGGCATACTAGTTAGGGAATGAGAGAGAGAACCAAAAGGCAGAGTTGTTAGGAGGAGTTCCTGTGGGCTTATAGGAGCTGTAATGAAGAGGAGGATGCATACCTGTAAGGAACAGGTTTTGGTCTGTTTCCCCTTTCCTCCCCCTCTGCTTCTCCCCCCCCAAAACTGTTTATTTAAAGGTTCTATTGTAGATGTCCAATAATCTTTAGTTGCTTTGAGGATCTCCATTGATGGTCTGTAATAAAAGATATTCATTTAACTGACATCTACTGTGAGATGACACTCTGATTTTTAGCTTTCTACATGTTGTCAGTATACTTGTTGTCAGTATACTTGTACCACACATGAGTGGGGGAAGAGAAAGAAGAAGAGAGTGTTTAGGCTTAGAGAGGGGGGAAAAAGGTTATAAGGGAAGATGGAATTGGATTTGTTAGGAAGTAACATCCAGTATAGAGGGAGCCTTGATGGAAAAGATGGAGCACATCAGGGCTGCTGTGTTGAACTGATGACTGTGGAAAAATGAAAAACAGGAGACTGCATGGATCAAATTCCTCCATCTTTTGTAACTCCTGTTCTTACAGTTTTTTGTTATACATGGGTTAGGAGAGTCCCAGAATGGTTGAGATTGGAAGGGACCTCCATGTCCATCCTGCCCAAGCTCTGCTCCATCAGGGACACCCAGGGGAGGGACCCTGGGCCCATGTCCAGGCTGCATTTGAGGAGCTCCAAGGAGGAAACTCTGCAGCCTGCTTGGGCAGCCTGTGCCAGTGCTTGGTCACTGTCTTGGTAAACAAGTGTTTCTTGATGTTCAGAGGCAACCTCCTGTGTTTCAGTTTGTGCACATTGCCTCTTGTCCTGGCACTGGGTACCACTGTACGGAGCCGGGCTCCATCTTCTCTGTGCTCTGTCTTCTCTGTACCCTGTTATCAGATATTTATGGACATTGGTGAGATCCTCCTGAACCTCTTTTTCTCCCAGCTCTCTCACTCTCTCACCACAAGAGAGGTGCTCCAGATCCTTCAGCATCTTGGTGATCCTGTGTTGGACTCTTTTCACTGAGCTCCCCAGTACATGAGGGACCTGGATGCAGAGTTAAACCTGGTAATCCAGGTGCAAGCTCACCAATGCTGAGTAGAGAGAAAAGTTCACCTCTCTTGACCTGCTGGTAATACTTTGCCTAATGCAACTCAGGTTACCACTTGCCTTCTTTGTGGCCTGGGCATGTTGCTGACTCATGTTCAGTGTGGTGTCCCTGGGACCCCCAGGCCTTTCTCTGCAGAGCTGCTTTCCAGTTGTGTGCCCCTAATGTGTGCTGGTGCCTGGGGCTGTTTCTCACCAGATGTGTGACTTTACACTTCTTGCTGAAGTAGATGAGGTTCCTGTCAGCCCATTTCTCCAGCCTGCTGAAGTGGCAGCCTTTGGTGAATCAGCCATTCCTGTCAGTTTCAAGTATCTGCAGGGGTACGTGGAAGGGGGGATGTGGTAGAAAGTTTAGAAAACCACGAGTGGCACAAAGTGAATAAGACGTGCTTATGTACTGTTTGGTTAAAGAAACAACAACAACAACAAAGGATCACTTGTTTAAACTGAAAGCAAACAATTTTTCTCCTCTTGTGGAAATTTTTTCTGTGTCCTCTGTGTAGATATAGAAGATCTTATAGGTTTTACCTTGGTTTTTCAAGAAGAGTTGAACCAGACCAAGGAAAAATGATTACTGTAGAATGAATATTTAAATACCTAGAGCTGGAAATTCATATCTTTGCTTACAGAAAGGTGAAACAGATGGTTATCACTGTTTATATGCTTTTCCATCTTGTAGGCTACTCAAGAAGAAAGACTGCCAGGCTACATGGAACTTTTATTCTCCCTTAGAATACTGGGTGTTCTGGTACATAGAGTAAGAAAAAGTACAGATGGAATAGGCTTGCAGGATCTTTGAGCTTATTTGAATTCTATTGCTCTACTCTCACAGACGTTTCATTAATAATTTTAGCATCTCTATCTTACATGGAACAAATTCTGAAATTTGAATATTGGTGAGTACTTGTTCTGTAGATACTGGTGAGAGTTGCCATTCAGTCTTCTTTGTTGTATTGTTAAATACAGAAAGTATTCAGTGTTCTGCCTGCCGAAGGCAGTTCAGATGGACAATTGCTGTTGTATCTGTGCACTGAATTTGAAACCCAAAAACTTACTTGAATTTGCATGTCTTAATGAATGTTTTGTATGGTGATCTTGTGGAAAATATTCTTGTCACAAGAACAAAGAACTTGAAGTGGCTCAGTTTCTCCTGGCAGGCATGTTGGTGGTCTGTATCAGTTGTTACATGGATCTATCAGCCTGTGCCCTTGTACTGCGAGAGCAAGAATTTAACTCTGCAATTTGTGTGTTCTTTAAAGTATTCATTCTTCTACAGGTTAAATTTAAACACGAGTCAGTTTCTTTCTGTTGTGCCTAGTTAGTGAGTCAGAAGTAGTTGCTTAAATTTGCTTAAATGCCTTATTTTAAAATTACTTTTCACTTTGCAATTCTTTTTGACCTCCTTGGCCACAGTCTCAGGCCAGTTCAGTAAACCACTGTACTACTTTTCTTATAAAATTAGCTTTAATTGTTTATATTGTAATTAACAGTACCTGAAAAAATTATCTTAGTAACTCTAAGCTGGGGCATGTTCCATTCTGTAAGTTAAGAAAAAGAATGAAATCACTTAAAATAAATAAATAAATAAATAAATAAATTGAGAAACAAACACATAATGTATACTCTTAGTTTTCTGAAAGGGTGATCAGATCACACAGACTACTTTGTAGAGATATTTTTTTTTAATTACATAAATGAGGCTTGAAGTCCTTCAGCTTTCTATTGCTCACCTTGATTTCTTTCTCTTTAACGAAAACAAGAAGTGGTTTTATTGTATTTTTGTTTTTGGAAGAAAAGAGAAGCATTGTTGCTTGGAGGTGGGGAGGGAATTGATTCTTATTTTGTCAGAATGCATATTGAATAGCCTCAGGCACCTGGGGGCATGTGTTCTTTAATTTCCCTCAGCTGTCAAATGAAGGCTGTGGCTGAAACAGAGAGGAGGTTTTCCTATTTCTCCATGCTGAATTAAAAAGGAATTGAGGAAGAGAGACCTGAAGTACATAAGAACCCTTATTTTACTGCAGTAGTTATTTAAAAATAAGTCATAAGAAAAAGTAGAAGTCTCCTCATATTTGGAGAGGAGACCTGATTAAGCATATGTTCTTGCCACCAGATCTTCATTTTTCTGTAGCTGTGTTTCTTTTCTTAGTTTTCTTCTTTTACTAGAAAGTGAACAGTACTGTGCTTTGCTCTACTGGATAAGAAATGAGGAAAGCAGAACAAAAGTAAGCTCAAACTGGTTGGTAACCTGAGTGGTACAGCTGATACACTAGAGGGAAGGGATGCCATCTAGAAGGACCTGGAGAGGCTTGGGAGGCAGGCCCTGCAAAGTTCAGCAAGGCCAAGTGCAAGGTCCTGCACCTGGGTTGGAGTAATCCCAAACAGATAGAGAATTGGTGGAGAATATCTTGAGAGCAGCCCTGAGAAAAAGGATTGGAGGTGTCAGTTGGTGAAAGACTTGACATGAGCCGTCAGTGTGTGCTCGCAGCACAGAAGGCCAGCCGTATCCTGGGTTGCGTCAAGAGAAGCATGACCAGCAGGTCAACAGAGGTGATTCTGCCCCTGTGCTCTGCTCTTGTGAGACCCTGCCTGGAGTACTGCGTCCAGTCCTGGGGCCCCTGACATGAGAAGGACATGGAGCTGCTGGAGCGAGTTCAGAGGAGTGCAATGAAGATGATCAGAGGGCTGCAGCACCTCCCCTACGGAGACAGGCTGAGAAAGCTGGGGCTCTTCAACCTGGAGAAGAGAAGGCTCCGGAGGGACCTTATAACAGCCTTCCAGTACCCGAGGGGAGTCTACAGGAAAGTTGAGGAGGGACTTTTTGGAAGGGCACGCGGTGATAGGACAGGGGGAAATTGTTTTAAACCGGAAGAGGGCAGATTTAGGCTAGATATTAGGAAGAAATTCCAGTGGTGAGACACTGGAACAGGTTGCCCAGCAAGGTGGTGAATGCCTGCTCCTGAAAGCATTCAAGACCAGGCTGGATGGGCTGCAAGCAACCTGTCCTAATGGGAGGTGTCCTTGCCTATAGCAGGGGATTGGAACTAGATGTTCGTATAATACCTTCAGAAGTTGAGAAGGTTTGGAATGAGGACTGGCCACATGGCATCCTGTGTTGTGTCTGCAGTATGAAACATTGTCTTCCCCTGTTTTCAACAAGACTCAGTTTATAATATTAATCATGATCACTCAGTGAGGAATCATATACTGCAGTAAAATACTGTATAACTCGTTATCTTGTGTATATTTGCCAAAATACTGAAGTTGCTCTGAAGACAGTTATTTTCACTCAGATTTCTGACCTTCGTCTTCCCATTAAAATAAATGCTGGTATTAACTAGTTGTGTATATTGCTATGAATATATACAAATCACGTTTAAAGAGATCTAGCTTCCTAGATGATTTCTGTAGTTTCCACCCAGATTGCTTTAGGTAGCTGCCTGAGACCTTTGAGATCCA